AATGTGTCATGATGTCATTGTGCAAGGAATCTAACTTTATATAGTTAAGTTAGATTTATTTATTTATTTCAAAGATTTATACAGCCACCCACCTTGTTTATTGTAACCCTGAGTGGCTTACAAACAATAATAAAACCAATAAAGAGCATTTCATAGTACTGGTGCCAGATGTTGACAACACTGTAGCTTGTAATGGATATTTGCCCTTCTCAAATGATCTACAAATATTGCAGCACATCAGAAAACAACTTGTATTGTATACTGGGCTTATTTTTCAAATGGGTATTTTGCTCTTACGTCTCTGATAAGGTTATCCAAGGGATCTTTTGTGATTTTTGTATGCTTGCATACACAGGTATCCTATCTCCTGACATATACCTTCTTTTCCTCAATCTAATGGTCAGTAGCAATGTCATGAGCATAATTATCTTTGCTTCCTTTCTAATAGTTGAGTACTTTTTAGCCCTTTGAATCAAGAATATGCAATTTACATAGACTTCTGCAAAGCCTTTGATTCAGTGGTACATGACAAACTACTGTTAAAACTAAACTTACGGCATTTCTGGATCCCTTCATAAGTGGATGACTGCATTCCTGTCAAACAGGTAACAAATACTAAAAATAGGGAGCGCTATATCAAACCCTGCTCCAGTTAACAGCGGTGTCCCCCAAGGCAGTGTTCTAGGACCCACGCTCTTTATACTCTATATAAATTACCTTTGCGATCACCTTATAAGCAACTGTGTCCTCTTCGCAGATGATGTAAAACTATTCAACACCACTGACAATGCTACTGCTCTTCAAAGTGATCTTGATTATGTGTCTGAATGGTCAAACAATTGGCAACTCCAAATCTCAACCAACAAATGCTCTGTCCTACACACTGGTAAAAAAAAATCAGTACACCAAATACAAACTGGGCGGATATGACCTCATTGATGACCCTCACTCTGTCAAGGACCTAGGAGTAGTCTTATCTAATGACTTAAGCGCCAGAGCTCACTGTAACAGGATTGCCAAAAAGGCATTAAGAGTTGTAAATCTAATCTTATGAAGCTTCTCCTCTGGAAATATTGAATTGCTAACTAGGGCATACAAAACTTTTGCTAGACCAATACTCGAATACAGCTCATCTGTCTGGAATCCGCACTGTATATCAGACATTAATACAATTGAGCGAGTCCAGAAGTATTTCACAAGAAGAGTACTTACTACACTCCTCTGCTTGCAACAGAATACCCTATACCACCAGTTTTGAAATTTTAGGCTTGGACAATCTTGAACTACTCTGCCTATGGTTGGACTTAAGTGTAGTACACAAAATTATTTGCTACAATGTCCTACCAGTCAATGACTACTTCAGCTTCAACCGCAACAGTATGAGAGCACACAACAGATACAAACTCAATGTTAACCGCTCCAAACTTGATTACAGAAAGTACGACTTCAGCAACAGAGTGGTCAATGCCTAGAATGCACTACCTGACTCTGTGGTTACATCCTCAAACTCCCACTCCTTTTAACCTCAAACTATCCACTATTGACCTCACCCCATCCCTAAGAGGTCTGTCAGGGTCGTGCATAAGTACACCATTCTGCCTCCCGTCCCTGTCCTATTGTCCCCATTTAATCGTACCTATTTTCCGTATTCTTACTCATGTTTATACTTATACCTATTATTTTGTAAGTGATTGACAAATCAAATAAATAAATGAATAAATAAATAAATAAATAAAGTTAGGCTGACCATATAAATTCACTGCCTAAAAAAACTATTAGATCTACACTAGAAGAATGTTATGCCCTTCATGATTTAATAATTTTAACCATGCACTAGAAATGGCTCAAATTTGATGTTAACTAGATCAAAGTCATTTTAAAGCAATAGAGCCAGTTGTTCTAATGGTGAAGGCACCACCAGCCTAGAAACCAAGAAACTGTGAGTTCTTGCCCTGCCTGAGGTATGAAAACCAGCTGAGTGGCTTTGGACAAACAATTGCCTCTCCATCCATTACACCTTACAAAATTGTTGCTATGGTATGGGGAACATAAAAGCAGGAAGAAATATTAAGTATGTTTTCTGCCTTGAGTTATTTATAAAAATAATACAGGTGGAATTAAAAACTAAAAAGTCAACCCTAGTTAGGATTCAGATTCAGAATCATCTGTCCAGAAATTAGAAACATTTGGGAATCAATAACATAATACAACCAGATGGCTATTAAATTCCATTTTTTTCCACTGGAATTTCTACTTGGAATATACTGGTTGTTTCCCTGCTTATACTAAACAGAAGAACCAGACTCAAAACTTCCCAGTCTGTCTTTGTCTGGCTCTCTCTCTCAATGTCTATGTATAGGTATACAGTATGTGTATAAATATATGGAGACCCTTTAGCACGGAATGGTATCCTTGGCCGAAAATAAAATCTTAATATACACAAGACATTAAATCAAGAGAGGGGTTACATGGCTGAACACTGAAGGAGGCCTGGCACTGGTTGGTTGGATGGATGGATCAATCATCTAAGCTAGAGCACAGATCTAACAAAGCCATTTTTAACACGGGAAGTGTTTAATAATAATTACTATTCATATAGATTGTAAATTTCAAGCTACTTGTTTCAATGTTCATTCCCCCCCAGCCCCCAGAATAGCTATTTTATGAGTAGGCATCAGATCACAAAAATACCTATATTTGTGTATTTTCATTTCAAAAAGTTACACAGTATCCATAATTCTCTCTTTAAAGTTAGCCAAACTCACATGGTTGGATGCTGATCTCTAAATTGGCAACGTATCTTTTCCAGTGTATCTGTACATTTTACCTTGGCAGTTAGATTTGTGCAAACCCTTTAAAGGGGATTTTCTGTAATGTGTAGGAATACTGTATATAAGAAGTATTTGTTTTTGGCTCATTAAGGCAGCTTTTTCCCAATGTGTGCAGCTGTTTCATAAACTGCTCCTAGCTATGAATGTATGCCTATGCATTCAAAATCGCTCTAATTTCTTTTTTTTTCCCCAGCAAAATGAAATAGTTGTGTATATACCAGCAGGAAGAAAGTGGGGCCAGCTTGGAAATACCTAAATGAGATTGAAGAGGCAACTGCTTAAATTAGCCAATAAACAGGGCTTCATATGCAATCCTGTGTGTTCCAAAGCCCCTCTTTTCAACAGGCTCTCCACGGGACTAAAGTCAGAGTTTTCAGCTAGTGCTAATTTTGGTGCTTTCATTTTGGGAAGATAAAAAGAAGACCACACACAAAATTAGTATGAATATAAAGACATTTTAATGTTCTGATGTTTATATCAAATACTCCGTCAAGTATTTTTTACATACAGTATCTTATAAACATAGTGTTGACACAACATATACAAAATTGCACATTAGAGATTACAAACTCATAAATGTAATCTTTTTTTTTTAATGTAAACAATGTCAGCACAAGAATGTTATACATTCCAGAACATCCATTATCTCCCACTTTTTTTCTTTCAGTCTCCATTAATTATTCTGGTTAGAAAGTGATAAAAACCAGAGAATGTCCACATTAGTCCCTACAGGCAGAGATGCCCTATTGGTTAGACATACAAGGCAAGTTGCCTTTTAGTCCCAAGTGCTTAACACAAAGATTTGAAGATCTAATCCTGTTCCTGTGGAGTCACAGACAAAAGATCCACTATTTGCAACAACAGCAGGTTTGAAATTAGCATTGCAAGATTTCCAACTGCTGCACTGAATCAAAACATCCACAAACTCAGTTCATAAGGAAACAAAAGCTAACTGCTCTTTGGCAGTATAAATTTGGAGTGTTCTTGTAAACATGGATTTAATCACCAGTCAACGAAAAGGTGTAGCACTTTATTTCCTCAATCACTCACTACACTAAAGCAAGATACACATTTAATCAAGTAGAATTATGTGTTACTTTAAAAAGACGTGTCAATAATTAAACACCTTTTAGTTCCACACATTATGAAGGTTATGAAAAAAAATACATGACCTGAATGCATTTTTACTGTCCTGTATTTTTATGTTTCATATACCATTCCATGCAAATGTTTCAATTCCATAAAAGCAAACCAAAGCCAGAAATTGTGAGTGAGGACTTCACTATTAACATGTGAATTCACAATCCAGTGTGTTCATTTGAAGAAAATCACTATGAATTAAATAAAGCTTACTTCTCTACAGAAAATACTGTATTCATTTCTGCAACTCCTACCTGTTACTTCTACTAAACTGGAGATTTTGTTTGCAACTATTGACTATATACTAGCCCTTGAGCCTTAATCTGAAGACTCTCTTTACAAAGCAGTACCTGGAACAGCTTTCTGGTTTGGTTCTGAACATCTTTCCAGAACCTCAGCCTTCATAAATGCATCTTCCCTCTCTTCATCTCAAAATCTTGACACATCTGAATGCCACCTAGAAGCACAATATAAAATAAGCAAAACAGCATGATGCTCCTCAAATAAAGCCAACACGCTTCTGACAGTACAAAATATAACTATAGAATATATATATTCAATATAAATCTTCAATTCATCTGCCAGGCTACTCTAGGAAACAGAAGCAGAGCAAGAACAGCAGAATGCCAGATTAAAGAGAGGAAAAAGTTATTAGAAAATAGCTAATTCTGAAATAGGGGTAAACTATTTCAGACAAGGAGCCAAAAATTACTTCCAGTGCATTATCCAGAACTGTGCCCAGTGGTTACACCATACATTTGTAAAAGGCATTATGACACCGTCAGTTTTATATATGATTTCCTTATTTCCACCACCAACACAGAATTGGCTCTTTTGATGAAAACTGCAAACTGCCAAGATTTTCAATGAGCTATCACAACCCTAAGATATCTTTCCTTATTAGTCATCAGCTCAAATGTATGTGCAGTTGGAATGTATGTGTGCGTGTACGTGTGCGTTGCTGTACATTGCTACATTTAATGGAATGCGCTATTTCAGAGCCCATTTGGAGAAAGCTTTTTGCAATGCTTTGCTGTTCAGGGGTTGGTTTGTTTTTTGGACCGTTTGTTTGAGAAAACACTAAAGAATTTGGTGTCCTCAGCAATCACGAATTTCAGATTATTTATGAAATTAAGAACCAGTGGTTTCAATACGGAAGTCTGGAGAGATCAATCCCCTTCAAGCTTTATATCCTCTTGCTAAGAGAAGTATCCATTTATTTTGATTCTCAGTTTTGCAACAGCTTCTGAAAGGATCATCTCAACCATTTTTTTAATAAGGCCATGTTTTTTGCAATGCTTAGCTGCCCCCATATCACAAATGTTAACTGCTAAGCAATTAAGAGACAACAGAATCAGACAAGTCCACTTACCTCTTTCATCATATGATCATATCCTGCAGTTAGTGTTTTTGGAATTACACTTGGTCAGTTGTCTGACCTTTAACTGCACTACCATCATGGCAGGACCATCTCTGCCTTCAGATAATATTTCAAAAACTGTACAACAAACCCTGTATCATTCTTAGCTCTAAAACTAAGTGGTACACTAGCAAGATATGAAAGGCTTAACTTGCATGTCTGTTTTAAAGGCACAGGAATGCCCCTTTCCTATGATTTGTTATTTAAAATGGAATTATTTGGTACTATTTCAAATGCTTCATTTGAATATATTTGTAATTATGGTGGTTTCAGATAGACTGTGAGGCCATTGGCAGTACTGTCATATCTGAGAGGGGTAGAATTCAATAAGAAAGCAAGAAAAGATAGCCTAATTGGAATACTGATATTTATTTTCAGAATAAAAGTAACCCCTACTCCAAATTTTAAGCAACTACAAAATTGCTTGAGCTGATTGGTGATGGGTTAATTTCATATAGACACACATCTTGTGTTTTTTTTTCCTTCAATCCCATTACATTCTTTCTACTTGCGTGAACCAGCATTGAGTTCAATCTACCTCCAGGAACCTAATTCTAGAAGGTTTTCTGCTTCAAGAAAACCATCCAAAAGTCAAAATTGTTAAGCCACTTTTAAGTAGAACCCAAAAGAGACTGAAAAGAAAATCCCAAACTTGTCAAAACTCTTTCTGCCTCGGGGAATTTCCTTGATCACTGCCATGCCTGAAGTCAATCCCAATTCAAGGTATGTCTTCAGCATAAAAATAAATCAATTATATATGTCTTTAATATAAAAAGGTAGCTTTGCAAGATTAAATGTTAATGACTATGTTGGATAAATATTTAACCACACTTAATCCCACTGACTTCATAGGTCTTCAACATGAAGTATAATTAACTCCAAATTCAACTCATGATGTGTATTCATATATGCACATACTATTTCACTTCTCAAATGGTTGAATGACCTTATTCTTCTAAAAACATTACTTTTCTTGCTCCTAAGCAAGAAAAATAACTCATCTGTATCAAATTTCAGAAGGAGACATGCTTGTTATAGGTTAATATGTAGATCTTTTCTTGAAAGTGATCAACTGTGGGTTTTTTTTAATGACACATTACTTTACCCAAGGAGTTTCAGAATCCTTTCCTGCATGGGACTCTGTGATGTAATAGTGTGTACTAATCAATCGGTGAAGACCAGTGGTCAAAGATGGGAACCAGGGAGACCTTTAAAGGGTGTGATCCTTTGCATACATCCTTACCAATAAATCTTCCTGAATGTTATATGGGAAAAAGGCTTAAAATACCAGGTTTATGTTTTTCTTAGAGGAACATGGGTATCTGCTTTTTTATTTTAAACCATTAGCTTTGATTTGTTTCAAAGCAGTATAATTATCATGAGATAATCTAGGAATTCACTATTAAAGCTCATCAGGAACAGCAACCATTCTGGAAGCCATGCTGAGTTAGCATCAATAAAAAGCTTACGAGTATACTACTAATTTCTACTACTCAATCTCAGTAGATGTACTCTCAATGGAGACATTTTAAATATTATCCCATGTAATAACTGCATTATCTAAAGTAACAGGCATTATTCATCTATCATGTCAAGTTTCCAGTTTATGTTTCAAACTACACAGAAGGTTAAAACTATGCATTATCTAAGAGGGATTACTCACACCCCACCTAGCAGTTTCTTAGACAATCTGAGTATTGCTTCCAAAAAGGAAAATATCACTGAAGCTCATCTGAACAAATTGCCTGAAGACATCATACATAAGACAGGTTGGTTAACTATTATATAAACTTTCCTTGCCCCAAATCTGTCAAATTGACAAAACTAATTCTGTCTTCCAAAGAACTGCTAAATAAGCATTTTTTAGAATTGATCATGCATAGAAACAGTCTTAAACCTAAAATTAAACTATTTTTTTAAAAAAACTAATACACTTAAAAATGCAAAAGACAAAAATTTTATGATTGCATCTCAATGTCTGGCTGCAAAAATTACAGCTAGTTATCAAGTTAAATACCTCTGATCAAAGGAACAGGTGTTTATTTACAGTACAACTGCTTGATAGTGGGGAAATACTGACAACAATTAACATAGCAAAAAATCACTTTGAACTTTATTGAGCAATAGAAATATTGTCATACCCAAACAGATTTGGATTTGCCACAGAAAGCAAGAAATTAAAATAATATGCACCAGGGCCGGCCTATGTTTGATTTTTACATCCTTCTGTTCCAGATACATATTATTAAAATGCTTTCTGGCAGCAATATAAAAAGCTAAGCATTCTCCAGCAAAATTTAAGCATTTTTATATTGCAATGATTTCCATGGCAAATTTAAAAAAGATCCTCCGACTAAAATCATGGGGTTTAAACATATATGAATTTGCTTGACATTTGCCCTAATGTCTTTTAATCCTAATACATTTAATCCTAATAAATGTTCTACAGCTTCCAGGAAAAAAAATACGCTATCATAATTAAAGCCAGCGGCCCACTAACATTTCTAATGAAAAAAAAAAATCAATCAAAATTTTCAGGCTAACAGTGGAGTTCTCATAAAGCCAACGATTTTCTTTCAATGACTAAAAATCCTGCTGTGAAAACATGCAGTGTTTTACGTCAATCCCTATAAAACCTATAATAATGAGTGATGTTTTCAGAGTAAGTCCACACCTGAATGTACATTTCTATCAATGACAAGCATTGCAAAATAGAACCAAAAAATGATTCCATTGGTAAGTTAAAAAAGAAGCGTTGGAAAAGAGTCATGATACATCATCACTCACCAAGTTAGCAACAAAATTAGTCAGCCTTTTTAGCCACACAATCCCCTAAGTGTTCACATGAGCTGGAGAAATCCACAAGAAAACCAGATGCCAAATAACTCTTCTTGTTAAAAGTCAAGGATAAGATTTCAAATCTCCCAAAGACACGTATTTTTTCTTGTAATGAGATTTTATGTCAGTTTCAACAATGGACATCACTTGAACCACCAACAATATTAGAATGGGATATTTGCCTAATGAATTCTTAAGACAGGTGAGTACCATTTAGTTTAGAATTTGGGGGAGTGGGTTGTTTTTATAATTACTTAAAGTGCAAGACACAAAGTGTATAAAAACAAATCAAATAGCTCTGTAATAGTTGTTCAGAGGCACATGCAAAAAACAAAAACCAGTAATCAGAACAAATGAGAAAAACATAAGGGTGAAATTTCTTCCCTTGGGAATAAATATGTTCCCAGTTCATCAGCAATGTGCTGATGCAGTATGTAAATGCAATGCAGTATGTAAACAGGATTTCAAAGACAGTGGCAGATCAGTTAGTACATGAAAAAAAATACAATATTAAAAATATGACATCCGGAAATTGTGTCCAAAATACATTGTATTCAGAGAAATTATCATGGAAAAAAGCGCCAAAAACTGCATACATTGGCAATATTTGCCAAATAGGCTAGAAAAAGGCAAACAATTTAGAATACTGCAAATATTTCAAGCACACCATGTTTTTGGCAAAAACTGTTACAAACATACATACAGCATGAACAAGATAATGAATTATCTGAGTGCCAAGATCAAAGCAACTTCAGTTATGCTGTGTCTTTTTTTGAAGAAATTAAGAAATAGGATGCTGTTTTTGAAGTAGGAATTATGATCTCTGACAGCTCCTTTTCCAAAATGCAATATTCCAGTACAGAACTTACCTGAAAAATTCTCCTACTTCAGTATTACATCTTCTAGAGAACATTTGAAAACATCTGATTTTGAACTGTTAACCAAATTGGAAAGAAAATTATTCATACTAATTAATGACTGTGAAAATGCTAAGGTAGATTTGCATTCCAAAGAAGAAAAAATTATCACATATGGGGGAAAAGATAAGGAATATATTACTGAAGTACATTTGTCAATTAGTACAAGATGGTTTAATCAAGTTGATTTTCTTCACCAGAGTTTTCCTTCTACTTCTAAAATGCCAAAATAGATTATTTCACACTTGCAGTGATAGGATTCCAAGTCAAAAGCTGTTAATTGCCATTTCTTCTGAAAATCTATCTCCCTCATAGGTATCCATCTAAGTCTAAGATAAATATCAACCTATCAATCAAGTAGGATATGTCAATACTACTGCATGAAAGAAAAATCATCTGTGCCCTAGTATCTTTTTGACCACAATATTTCCAGGCAAAAGCAAGGGCTTCTAACTGCATGGAAAGTTATAGTTGAAACAGAAAATAAAATCACAGGACATAAGAAAACTGCATTTGGAGAAGGGTAAAAACTATTCTCTGAACTTATACAATGTAATACGTTAGTAGGGAGGGCTGTCATCTATGACAGGGGTCTCCAACCTTGGCAACTTTAAGCCTGGCGGATGTCAACTCCCAGAATTCCCCAGCCAGCTTTGCTTTAACTTCTGGGAGTTGAAGTCCGTCAGGCTTAACATTGGCAAGGATGGAGAGCCCTGATCTATGATAAACAGTTTGGCACAGTTACTAATAAAACTGACAAAAATACTAATAAAACCATCAAAACCAAGCAAGAAACAATGCTTATTTCGGATCCCATTTTAAAATAAAACAACAAACCTTTCAAACTCAACTTATAAATTTACTTTCTACCTCCCATCCTGAGAACATTTTTTTAACGTTTTGAATAAAATAGCTTATACATAGTTCTTCTAAAAATATATGGCTATCTACATGTCTATTAATTGTTTTCTGTGAATTATTCAAAACATAGTTGAATTCACTGATTTATCTCTTTTTAAAAATCCAATTTTTTCTCTGTATGATCATACTGAGAACAATTACAGTTGGAATGTATACTGTAACAGATAAAGCATTTGATATTTTTCTTCAAAAACATTTATTTTATCCCCTTGCATGTTATAAAAATAAACAGATATTCTATAGTTTTAATAAATAAGTGTACCCAGACCCCAACTTTGTGCTGGCACAAGAAATAATATAGAGCTCATAGATCTAGGGGTGAAAAGAATTTTCTTAATTTCTGCTTTTAAATAAATATTTTATATGGCATAGTATGCTAAATCTCCAGCACCAGAAATTAGCTTGAATGGCAACATTTTCATAGTGACAAATTATGTGACTGCTTTCTTTTGTTCATCAAAATTGCCCAGCCACATACTCTGTACTTCTCTTCCTAAACATATAAATTTAGTGTCTCTCAAGCATTTAGCAAATCTAGAGAATCTCTACAGCAAGAAAATAACAAATAGTCTGTACACGAAATTGACTTAACTTTGCACAAGTCTTCTAAATGTTGAAAAACATTTCACAACTCTACCCACTGGCAAATTCTAGAGCTGCTCTTAAAAATATGATTTATCTACTGAAATGACTAGCAATATCCATGATATACAAACATATTACTATTCCCTTAATATCCCTTCTTAGAAAATCCACACTGTTCATTAGAAAGCTGTAAATACACCTTCAGTAAAACATACTGGAGTGTCTTTAACTGTCCCTGGTAACTTTTTTTTTCTCTTTGCAGAAATGCTAATACATGTTACACTCAGTGACCGTCCACCACAGAATAAAAATTCAATTTAAGAATCTTTAGAACATATAAAAGTCTTCCACAAAGATAACTTTTTGCCCACAGGTATGATCTTTGAAGAGACCTCAGCAACAAGACATATTTTAATGTCCAGTCAGCAAAGCTCTGTTTCTTTGTTTCAAGCAGGGCAAGAAAGCTAGAAAAATAAGCTGGAGCTTTCAGAAGATGAAGAAAGAGTCCAGCCCCAGACTTCTTCACAGCCTGAAGGTGGTCAGAGGGGCTTCAATTGGAGAAGCTTGGCACTTTCCTCTTTCCCTCTGAAGGTTTCTGCATTTGTTTGGTGCTCTTAAAAAGAACCCAACAGCATCACTTCCAGCTGGTTATTACCAATCTCAGTATTACTTTCATTACTTAGGTGGCTGGCAGAAAAGCTGCCCATTGCTGGAGATGCTTGAAACTGCCAACCTTTAGTTAAAGAGGACAGTTGTTGTTTTTAAGAAGTTGTTTCTAGAAAGGCTAACACTGTGAAGTTCTACTCTGTTCCATGGGATATTCTTTCTGACATATTTATCTCTCTGCCATTATTACACCAAGTTCTTCTCTGGCTCTTCCGACTTCTATCAGAAACTGGTTAAGATACCTGCATGGTCTCGCAGAAGCCGAACCTTTCCCTGTCTACTTCAGCTTTTCAGATGAACGAGGAACTCTGCAGAAGCCAAAGGATGTGCAACGGAAGGCAGGGCTCCCATGGCCCCTTCCCAAGACCAGGATCAAGGTCTAATCCCCCTTTCTGCCATGCATGCATGGCAAAGTTGGGCGCAAGATGAGTCTCCCTTTGTTTTTGGAGGGGTTCACACGCTTTCAGCAAGCACTGGTCTCCGGCTCTGTGGGTGCCTCCCTACCGGGGGGCTGACCACCCACTGCCAAGGTCTGCGTGGGGACTGCGGCGGCGGCGTTGATGTGACAGCCACTGGAGAGGTGGCTCCGGACTCGACCTTGCAACTGGGTGACCTGGGCGCGGAGGAGGCTGGCGGTGGCGGCCAGCTCGGCGTTTTGGCCTTTGAGCGCTTTGACTTTCTCCTCCAAGCGGGCGATGCGCTCAAGCTTGCGCCGGCGGCACTTGGAAGCCGCGATACGGTTGCGCAGTCTTTTGCGCTCAGCTTTCAGGCGCTCTTGGCTCTCTGCGTCCAGCGGGGATAAGGAGGAAGGCGGCGGCGGGGACTCCCCGGACGAAAGCCCCGAAAGAGGCGGCGGCGGTGGAGGAGCTGACACTATTACAGGCGCTTCCGGCACAGTCTGCGGCTCTTCCAAAGCCCTGCCGGTCGAGCCGGGCGCTTGCAGACGAGCCACAGCCTGGGGAGTGAAAAAAGCACCGCCGGCCGATGGACTGGCCGGGTTGAAGTTGCCTAAGGTGGTGTAGACGGCTGGGGGATCCTGCCTGGACGTCGGGCAGCAGGGCCCTCCCGGGTGCTGGGTAGGCGAGAGAGGCGCCGGGGACACCCCGAGCAACTGGTTCTGTTTGTGCAAATCGGCCAGAGCTTTCACGAAGCCGTCGGCGAAGCCCTCCTGTTCCTGCGTCACCGCCTGCGGCGGAACCGAGGATTGCGGAGAACGGTACAAGAAGGGGGGCCCGCTGGCCGTCGCCACCGAGGGTCCTCCGCCGGTGGGGCTGGATGGTCCGGCGAGGCCCGGGCTCCCCGCTTGGATCAGCAATTGTTCCAAGTCGGCGGCCGCCGGCAGCTTCAGCAAAGGCTGCAAAACGGCTGGGCCCACCTCAGGGCCGGCGCCGACGGTGGTCTCCTGAATGAGGCGGTGCACGGCGCTGCTTGGGCCGCCGCGGGGGCGCAAGAACGGCCCGGCCGGGGGCAAGGTGGCATTACCCGGGGAGGCCGCCGCTAAATCCCGAGGAGGAGGAGGAGGAGGCGGCTTCCCGACGAGAAGCAACTTGCGTTGTTGAACCGCCCCGCTTTCCTCAGGCGGTTCAAGTCCCGTCGGTCCTCCGGCTCCGGGCCCGCCACCGAAGCCCGGCAGTTGCACGAAGTCCGGGAGCAGCTCCAAGCCTTCTTCGCCGTAATAAGGTGCTACCTCCATCTTCACAGCCACGCGGGCGCCAGTGCGCCCGCCGCCGCTGCTCATGCTGGGCGGGACGGCGGCGGGTTTGGAGTGGCCGCCGCCGCCAGTCCCCAGCTCTGTCTGGCTTCCAGAAAGAGGAAACGACGCGGTGCCTGCCGCGAGCTCCGCTTCCCAGCGCGGCGAAGGCTGCGGCGAGTTTTTCACGCCCGGCGCCGGCTCTCCATCTTCCGCCCCTTGGGGCAACCCGCCCGGGGCTCGGCGCTTTCGACTTGCGCCTTTTGAAGAGGGAGAAAACTCTTTCTCCCCCCCCCCCCCGCCCCTCACCTTGCAGCCAGAGGAACTGATGTCAAAATGCCTCGCCCTAGTAGCAGCTCCCGCTACTCCGCCTTTCTTGGCTGTGGCTGCGGCGGCCACACGCGGCCTTCTCGGCTCAGCAGCGGAGGGCGGAGCGACGGAGCCGCGTCGCCTGGTTCCGTCTTCCTACCTTGCCTCCTCTCCCTTCTTCCCGAATAAAACGGGGCTTTGCGTTGAGATCAGCCCGGAGGCTGATAAGAGAAATAGAAGCGGAATCTTGGCGCGAAACTTTTTATTGCTTCCCGACGTTGCATTGCGGCGGGGACGCCTTGGGTTCCGCCTCATTCGCGCGGGCTACCAGATTCGCCTGAAAATCAGGGACAGAAAGGTGCCTGTATCCTCCCCCTCGCCCACCCGCCCCTAAACTTTCTTACACAGGGACAGTGGGATGGACGATCCGATAAACGGGCGAAGTAAAAGTGCTGGCAACTACAGGTAGTCCTCGACTTACAACCGTTTGTTTAGTGACCATTCAAAGGGCACTGAAAAATGTGATTTATGGCCGTTTATCAGTTATGACCTCAGCAGCACCCCCTTGATCGTGGGATCAAAGTTCAGCTCCTTGGCCATTGATTTGTATTTATGACCATCACAGTGTCCCAAGGTCATGTTGTCTTCACCTTTTGCGACCTGACAAGCAAAATCAGTGGGGGAAGCCATATTCACTTAACTGGGTTAGTAACTTCTCCACTGCGGTGATTCACTTAACAACTGTGCCCCAAAAGGTCATAAAATGCAGCAAAACTCACTTAAGATGTGTCTCAACAGCAGAAATTTTGGGCTCAATCGTGGTCACAAGTCGAGGACTACCTATAGTAGATCATGGCCAAGCAGCTATGGCTTTGTCTATCTGGAAAAAAAGAACAGAGTGACCCTAATCTTTCTCTTAAGGGTCTTCCTGCTTTCATCCACATTTCAAGAAAATGTTTTTCCACTTTGAAAATAAGGGCCTTTCTGTTACAAATACAGAACCACTAGAAAGGAAATGCAACAGGGGAACTAGGAACTGGGCTACTTATACGGGTAGTCCTTAACTTACAGCTACAATTGAGCCCAAGATTTTTGTTGCTAAATGAGACATTTGTTAAATGATTTTTGCCCCATTTTACGACCTTGCCACAGTTGTTAGTGAATCCCTGCAGTTGTTAAAGTTGTTGGTTGTTAAGTGAATCCCCCTTTGCATGACCCCAGGACACTGCAACAGTCATAAATATGAACCAGTAGCCAGGCATCTGAATTTTTATCACCTGTCCATGGGGATGCTGCAACAGTCATTAAGTGTGAAAAACGGTCATAAGTCATTTTTTTGGTGCTGTTATCATTTTGAATGGTCACTAAATGAACTTGTAAGTCAAGGACTACCTTTAGCAAGGAGGTTTTGCCAATGTGCATATAAAATAGGGCAAACTTCAATTAGCAACTGTCTTACTTAGCAACAGAAATGTTGGGCTCAGTTGTGGTCATAAATTGAGGACTACAGGTATTTTGTTGTATGGCTCTGTCAGAACATCCAGATCACACTGCAGAAATTCAGCAGTAAGTGTTGATTTGGGAAAGGACAATTTCCCATTTGACCGTACCCGTCTAACCCAAACTTTGTGGCCCCATTCCATTTATAACGTTGCCACACTGGCCACCTACTCTTCTAGCTCTGATTAGCTCCTAAAATAAAAAGTGGACTTCATCTGTGAAAGATTTATTTTTGGTTACTGTCTTGAACGAATGACATCACATTCTGACCATTAAGGTTTGTTACTGAAGATTTCTCAGACAATGTTATTAGCAGAGGCATAATAAAGTCTGTGTTATCATGCTTGATTCAAATTTGAGAGATGGTATTCAGTTCATCTCTTCAGCCAAAAGAGTTGCCTCAATCAATGGAATAACTTCACACCCTCAAACCTGTTCCCCAAAGATAATGGAGAATCTTGTATTAATCTTACAGGGAGAGGAAAGTCTAACATGCAACATAATAGATTTAATCAACTTATTTCAGTGAGTATACTCTGAATGATTTATTCTATAGACTGTTGTGTGAAAGGGAGTTTTGAAACATTGTAAAATAATAAAATTGCTTAGATGAATTTAAAACAATTGTGAGGTTATTTTGTCCAAGAAGTTGTAAACAATAAACTTGAACAAAGGCCCTCCTGATCATATGGCTATCTTTATCTATAATCAATCAATCTATCTATCTATCTATCTATCTATCTATCTATCTATCTATCTATCTTTCTATCTATCTATCTTTCTATCTGTCTAAATATATACAATATATATGGCTATTCAGATATAATGTTTACTACTTTTCCAGCAGCAAGAAAACTTACTATCGTAATTGCTCCTGTGAGTGGGTGGTAAGGCAGGTTTCTATATTCATTTTTATTGCATACTTAATTTTGTCCTGCTTTGCTAGACTTTTATTGCTAAGCATTAGTGATAGAACTAAAAACAACATCTTGATGTCCAATCTGCTGAAAAGAAAACTTGCAATGGAAGTGATAGACACTCTTGTATCCAAATTTCTGAAGATTTCTCCTGCTTGTCAAGAGTGAAGGTCTTCTGGTGGTGTCTTGGCCAGAAGATGAAATCTAAATAGCCATAGTTTCTTCTCCTTTCTATGAATAGTAGAGATGAATGAGGTTTTCCAGGTGTTATTTACCCTTGAAGAATTGAGGTTTTCTAGTATGATTTCTCATGTTCTTAGACTATACAAGGAGAAGTCTCTAAATGCCTCTTCTGTTGTTTTTTCTTGAATAGGAACATTGAATATTACTCTCTCCTCACCTTACTACTTCATGAGCTTTTCTTCCAACTAAAACAAAATTGAAACAAGCTTTCTAACATGCAAAAAAGGAATCTTGTTTCAATCTGGCATGAGTCATCCCAACCCCTCATTTTTAGTAGTTACTCCCATAAACAGATTTTAGGAAGTGCCCCTATTAAATATACCCAGATTCACACTTCTCCAAAATTGATGGGGAAGTTATATTTTTAAAAATGCAGCAAATCGGAACAATCACCTGTATATTTATTTCATAGAACGAGCCTTTCCATTGCAGAGCTTTCTCTATCCATATGTATAAATGCATACATAGTCACATATACAGTGTATGCATACATGCTCACACACAAAAGGAACTGTTTTGTAATCACTGCGCAACCACTACTCCCTACTGTTCCTTTACCTCAGGCCTGTCAAACTCCCGGCCCTTTGCCTTCTTTAATATTGCTTACTAATGGGAATATTAATTTCATAGTAGACCAGTAGTCAAGTTTTCATGAAGTCAATATTCTCATTAGAAGAAAGTCCATTCCAGTGATGTGACCAATTCCTCTGCAGAAAACAACTGTAGAGATGCAGCACCATCTAGCTGGAAGGAAAAAGGGTCCTGCTGTGGACCAGTTGGATTCCTGCAAATTGCTGATCTCATAAAGCTCCTCCATATGTACTAGAATGGGATGGATGTCTTTTGCTGACATAAGGTGGAAAACCCTAGTTTCATGTCAGAACCCTTTGTCTCATGTCAGCTAGTCTCAGAAGCACCTGAGGGGAAGCTTTATTGTGAGGACACGGCTTGACAAATGGTAATGTGGTTACTTTGTAGTACATCAACCAGAACATGTAGAATAACCTGATATTTCAGACGAAATCCAGTCCTAGTCAGCAGACGTGCAATAAATTCCACATCAGTAGTGCTTATTTCTTCTCTGAATGAGACAAGTCTCAGAAAAGAACTGTATCCCTGGAAACTTTTTTTTAAAACAAACTTAACCTCCTCTCATTACATCTCCAATCATGGTCTATCATGGTCACTGAACAGAAATGATGGGAGTTTTATGGCTTCATATGGAGAAGAATGAAAACTGGCACTAACATTATTTATATGTGAGCCGTGTTTTATTTTACTGTGCCCTGAAAATGTCCACGCAAAGCTGTATCTGCTAAGTGAAATTACACTATTTATAAACTATTGTTTTGTTGCATACATATCTGATAGCATTGTTCAAATAGGTTTTTAAGACAAGAAGGTATGAGGGAGACATGTAGAGCTTGCTCAAGTATTGTGCTGTAATCCCAAAGTTGAAAATGCAATACAAGATGGTTAAATATAAGATGGATTGGGTAAATTTGTGGTGGACAGATTTATTAAAGAGCACTATATTTTAAGATTTAACATTATATCCAGTTTGAAAAAAACCCTTTCTTTGAAAGCATCCCAGAGGAAACTTGTTGATCACTGAGAAATAAAATGTAGAACCAATATGGGCCTTGATCTGATCAACACATTATTCTTATGTTCTTATCCATGTCTTAAATTTATAGGCAGCTGTGAATACAATTAACGTTGAATTGTTTCCTTTTTATATCTGAAATAGTCTATCCCTTAGTTCCAGATATAAACAGGTGAAACTGATTTTGGAGATAAATAGGGGTAGCTAATGACTGATAAGAGTTGTAGTGGTGAAAAGAGGAGAATCAACAATGTAAATATCCGTCAATGTATAAATGTAAAGCAGATTTGCAAATAATAAAGCATCCTTTTTTTTCTTCCTTTTCTTGAAAGGGACATCCTTTCAATCTGTAACTCTCTATGTATACCATTGTACTCTCATGCTTTAACAGTCCGAGAATTGAACTTTGATCACATGACTGTAGCGTCACCTTATAGCCAACCCAAAAGCGAACAATTTGAAGTATTTTTTTTTACTGTACCTGAATAGAAGTAATTTTGTTTTCCTTTTCGGCGAACAAAGTCATTATAGTTTCATTCTGTGTAAAATGTTCATCACTTACTCTAAAGGCAAAGACAGGTAATAACTGTAAAAAGAGATGTGTGTGGGATTGCTGGGAGGCATATGCATTCCGCCATAGCCATTTCTTTCCCTGTCTTTGATCCCTGAGTTCAGTTT